TGTTACAGTTCTGTTACAGTGTTGTTACAGTTCTGTTACAGTTCTGTTACAGTGTTGTTACAGTTCTGTTACAGTGATGTTACAGTTCTGTTACAGTGTTGTTACAGTGTTGTTACAGTTCTGTTACAGTGCTGTTACAGTGCTGTTACAGTGTTGTTACAGTGTTGTTACAGTTCTCTTACAGTTCTGTTACAGTTCTTTTACAGTGTTGTTACAGTTCTGTTACAGTTCTGTTACAGTTCTGTTACAGTGTTGTTACAGTTCTGTTACAGTGTTGTTACAGTTCTGTTACAGTTCTGTTACAGTTCTGTTACAGTTCTGTTACAGTTCTGTTACAGTTCTGTTACAGTGTTGTTACAGTTGTTACAGCGCTATTCTGTCTGACACAAGGCTGACGCTAACATGTCTCTGTTCTCTTTTTCTGCAGTGGTAGAGGAGCTGCAGGTTCAAATCTTGAGGCTTCTGCTCAACAACAAGGACAAAACTACGGTACCAACACATGGTTCTGACCCGTTCAGGTTGGATCCTCTAAAATTTGTCTCTACATTAATTGTTAATAAGCTCAGTCCAGGATCCTTCTTGCTGGGTTTCACTCAGAGGATTAAATAGTTTCTGGATCAGTCTGATTGGGTGTGGATCAGTCTGATTGGGTCTGGATCAGTCTGATTGGGTCTGGATCAGTCTTATTGGACCTGGATCAGTCTGATTGGACCTGGATCAGTCTGATTGGACCTGGATCAGTCTGATTGGGTCTGGATCAGTCTGATTGGGTCTGGATCAGTCTGATTGGACCTGGATCAGTCTGATTGGATCTGGATCAGTCTGATTGGACCTGGATCAGTCTGATTGGGTCTGGATCAGTCTGATTGGGTCTGGATCAGTCTGATTGGACCTGGATCAGTCTGATTGGACCTGGATCAGTCTGATTGGACCTGGATCAGTCTGATTGGATCTGGATCAGTCTGATTGGATCTGGATCAGTCTGATTGGACCTGGATCAGTCTGATTGGGTCTGGATCAGTCTGATTGGGTCTGGATCAGTCTGATTGGGTCTGGATCAGTCTGATTGGGTCTGGATCAGTCTGTGTTTGGTTGTCATCAGGTCCTTTGTTAATCGTAGAACTCAGACAGGTCTTCCAGTCGCTGCTCCTCCCACAGCATGATGCTGCCACCTCCGTGCCTCACTGTGGGGATGTGTTCTTGTCAACATTTATTTAGTTGAGTTCTGATCCAAACATCTGGTTCTTTTTCAGGGAGAACCGTCACGCTACATTTTCCTCAACAAGTTCAGGAAGTTCCTGCAGGAGAACGCCAGCAACCGAGGGGTAAGACTGAGGGTCCTGACCTGGTCCGGTCCACAAAAGGGTTTCAGTACACAGAGCTTGGATGAGGTTGGTTCAGGAGTCAGGTCCACCTTCAGACTGTCAGCTGGGTCCATCACTGAAACCATCTGTGTGGTACCAGAACCAGCTGTGTGGTACCAGAACCAGCTGTGTGGTACCAGAACCAGCTGTATGGTACCAGAACCAGCTGTGTGGTACCAGAACCAGCTGTGTGGTACCAGAACCAGCCTGTTAGAACTTATGGATCAGGGTTAGTTTAAGTCACTCTGTAAGTCGGAGCTTCAAACTGAGACTTTAAAGACTTTAGTTCTGGAGTTAGATCAGTGTCTGTGGACAGAGATGTGTTTCTGTGCACGTGACCACACTGTGTGTGTGTGTGTGTGTGTGTGTGTGTGTGTGTGTGTGTGTGTGTGTGTGTGTGT